AATATTCCTTATTTATAATTGTTTTTTTATTATATTTATTTATAAATATTATTACATATTATGTTATTTATTTATAATTATTATTATGTTCTTTATGTATAATTATTATTTTGTTATTCATTTATAATTATTATTGTGTTATTTATTTATAATTATTACGTAACATGAGTATTCTTATGAATATATATAATTTTTATATTACAATACAATGATTTTATTCTTTTTTATAATTACTATTATATTATAATATAATTATTATATATAATAATTATTATTAAATCATGATATATGAATATTAAATATATAATTACAATTAAATTAAAATATTATTATATATAATAATTATTGTTAAATCGTGCTATATGAATATTGTATAATTACTATTAAGTTATATTAAAAGATTATTATCATATACTGCATAACATATATGTTATTAGTACATGTAAATTTTTATTATATTGTTATACATTACTTATTAATTGATCTTGGTTATCTCAATCTCTTCCTATATTCTACTTTTAAAATTATATATAATTTAGTTCAAAACAATTTTTTAAAAATTTATCTTCTTGACGATTTGATACCGCTAGGCCGCCAACATTGATTCCATTCCGGCGACAACAAGCGCTGTTTGGCGTCATGCCCCGTGATATCAAACTAGCACCTACAGAGTTTTTATTTTATTGACGCGATGATTTGATTTTTCATCTACGTCACACATTGGAACAACACAAGGACTATTGGCAACGGACCTCGTAATTTTACACCAACATCAAGAGACAGGGACGACACCTGATCTATCACCCCTCTCCAAACTTCCACACACGCCAACGGAAGGGCTTTGAGTTTCGATAGATTTAACAGCTCTTTTAAATGGAAGGTCTTCAGTGGAGGTAGGTTTCGAATCCGAGACTCTTACTCGCCACGAGTTAATGGCCATGTCCACTCGGCTACCACGGCTGCGTATACGCAGTGAATCAAAAAAAATATATCCCAGTGTTAAAATAAATAAAAATAGAAATTACATTAAGTATATACCGTATTTACTCGAATCTAAGCCGACATCGATTCTAAACCACACCCCAAATTCTCAAAATGTTTTTGTGAAAAAATGTCATCGAATCTAAGTCGCACCCCCAATTCTCTACACGTTTTTGAGAAAAAATTAAAAAAATTGTAATGAAAAATATTAAGTTAATAATTAATTTATTTTACCCGTATTAAAAACTCACAAATTCATACATGAACCTATAATTAATTTAACCATCAGTGTCACGTCTCGAAAATGATTCGTCACTTCCATTGTCATTGCTGACTTCGGAATTGGTGCTGGCGACGCCATTTTCCTACACGATGTCGTCTTCCTTGTCATCCAGTTAATTTGTTGTGCAACATTTTTATTTAAAGAACTTATTATAAAGGAATGTAAAAGAATTATTTAAGACTGTTGAACACTTACAAGCAAAAACTATATGATTTTGCTTAGGTCTTCGACATATATTTGTTTCATCCGTGTCGAATTTTCAGTGGCCACTGCTCTTTTCCCGTTTTGCCTGCATATAAAATTGCCTCTCTTTTCTTATTTGCGTTATAGTGAACTCGTCTCGATGCTGTTACCGATAATTTTTATGTTTCGGTGATTAAAAGAAAGCGTATTAAAAAAAAAATTCTAAATACGGGCAGACAACAATGTATAGAATACAATTAAATACTGAAAATAAACTACGGAAAGGGGGAAGACATCGATGCAAGTGGCCAGAATGGACGGTTAAATTTTTCCTTTTGAGAAAGGGGTGGGAACTCAATTTCCTCCATCCAACAAATGTTTTTGTCTTCGATTCTAAGCAGCACCCAATTTTCAGTAGCATTCACACTGGGAAAATAGTACGGATTAGATTAGAGTAAATGCGGTATATAAAATAGTTATTATATTCCTTACAATATTCCTTAAAATATATTTTTATTGGTTGGTTAAACTTTGTTGTGTTAGAGAAGAATAAAGCAAAATGTTCATCGAGTAGAAAGAAACCTTAAATAACAAAATTCTACCTGTGTTTTGGCAAGTGCTAAAACGACAACTTGATAAATTTTTGCAATGTAAATAGTTATTCAAAGATAGATATGAGTTCTTCAAACCATTGTCAGAATATTATTCACCGCATCACCGGAAACTCTCAATTTTGTCAGAAGAAAAAAAAAGCACTTGTTTATGTCTACAAGTGTGTGTGTGTGTCTTTCTACAATCTAATACCAATTGTGTATATTGACTAAAAAAAATTTAAAAGCCTTTTAAGCTTTTCTTTACACAATTTAAATTGTTTATTCTTTAGTTTTTGCATAAAAACCCCTTTTCCCAGCAATTCTTTTGTTTGTACTATAGAAAGCTCTTAGCATAAATAAAAACGGGATGAATCGGTTTGTGAATCGCTAAAACCTCCCATACAGCTTTCAGTATTTGTTTTTACATCGATAAAAAAGAAAAAGCTCTCTATGCTCTTACTGTTGCCTTTAAAAAGATTATAAAATTCCAAAAGTTTCTGTTCCCTAGAGTTCACACACAAGAAAAAAAAAGAGCGATGACGGATGTAAACTGGAATATGCTTTGTCAGACAAAAATTTTAAAAAGTGCGTGACATTCATATATTTTACTTCTAAATTTCAGTTCAGGTATGCATATATTTAAAACAAGAATTCTCCCATAGTTTCAAAGACTTCTTGGGGATCTGTGAACATTGGTGAGAAGAAATTGACTCTATCTTAACGGGACAGGATATCTTAAAGAGTCATGATAAATGAACTTCATAATAAGTGATGTGGCTGTTTCGTGTCACACCGATGAAAAGTCGGCTTCTTTTTGTGGTTAGGATAACCACGTTTCTATGCACACGTGTACCCCTAACTATTGAAAGGCTATGTCTTTTGTCATCACCCCGGCAACCTTTGATATCGTGAGAAAACCCCACTCCGCCCACGAGCCGAATGTAATTAGAAAAAATAAAGGGAAGACCTCCCCCATTTTAAGACCCAGGAGAGGGCAAGTCCGTTCGAAAACATTGAAGAAAACGCGGTTGCAGCCTCTTCCCTCACACATATCATATTGTGGACTAAAATAACTAATATTTTGAATAACTTCAATATGAATGTATATGCTGTCATTATCATAGCTTTGAAATAATAGCAAATTTTTAAATTCAAAACTGTCACGCTACCATTAAATTTCTCAAACGTCATAGTGGGAATATAGATGAATTGTGGATTCAAGTCTTGGCTCCATCTAAGATTTATCACAGAAAATACTTGACGAAACCCTCCTGCTCACCACTGGTACGCAGCTAAGAGTCCTGGCCTATTTATACAGTGCAGGAGTTCCAGGGCTCATCAGACGGCCTTGGCGCGCCTTAGAAGCGGTCACCTGCGTAGTATGACTTTTGTGCAGGGGGTAAAGTCTCTTTACCTGTCCATGCTCTCTCCTTGCTTCTCCTGCTCATCTTCTGGACTTCTGGGGCATTTCCCTGCAACAGTTGTATGAAGAGCAAGACCTGGTGTGTGACACTATTACGCGGAAAGGTCAAATAGACTTGGTGTAGGTTTTCCTGCTCCAAGGGGATTGGAAACAACAACAGCAACACATCACAGAAAATAATGAGGTTGCTACAATGAAACCGAGATTGCCATGCTATGGAAGCTAGGAAGGGGATGTTCTAGCTTAAACAAAGGAGCATTGACCTAGTGAAGGGTGTACCAGGAGTGCGTTCCGAGCTCGACTGCGGAAGAGCCCCCCAAAAAATACCGCCTTCGTTGCTTTTTCGATTGAAATTAAAGCTAACGTAAGAATATGGCGATTAAATATACTCTACCGGAAGTATTTAAATATAAGGTTAACATGTATTTTAATAAACCTCCTCCTCTTTTTTACCCAAAAAAACCTTCTGAAAGGCTTCGAACGACTTTAATTTGAAATTGAGCTTTAGTGTCATCTGATAAAATTTTGAACTGATCAGGTTCGTCATCAATAACTTTAGATAATAATTTCTTGAAAGTCGCCAAAAGTCTCAAAGAATAATTTGTCTGCCGCCAATAGCATTATGTACTGTAAATCTACAATTCAAACAAAATAATTATGTTCATTTTCAGTAACAGTGTACTGCTCATGGTTTTCTTGTTACAAAGGTAATATAGATATATATTACACCAGGGATGTAACGGAGTACATTAGAGCCCTCCTTCAAACTCAGGTTTTGGGCCCCAAGCCCAAATATGGACTTAGCATTTGTTAAGCTTTGGCCCTCTAGAGTACCTCCCCGCAATTCGCAATTTCCCCTCAAAAGTATTACATTGCAAATTAATATTCTTCAAGGAAATATTCACAATATATATTTAACAGTAATGGTAACCCAGCAGTTAAAGTACCAACAGGATGGTTGAAACGAAAAGTAGATTCGATTCTCAATGCCAGTGGTTTTCAAACTGTGTTCCACGTAAACGTGGGGCTCCACAAAGCATAACCAGGGGGCTCCATGTGTCAAAGTAAAAAATCCTAAAGAAAACTATAAACATGTATGCGAAACAGATTCACGCTCTCTGTGGAGTTAGTATGACCATAAGTATCTAAAGCCGTGCTTTTTAACGTGGGTCCCACTTCCCATGGCAGGAAACTTAAAAAAAGAATCGACATCGGTCAGGCATTTTTTCAGTTTCTACTAATAGTTCACACTCTCCTAAATATATATATATATATATATATATATATAATATATATATATATATATATATATATATATATATATATACACATCTTGTTCAAATTTTAAATCAATAAAAAATACTTTTTATATTCATCCACTCAAGTTCAAATTCAGTTTTTTAAGTTTTTAGTGGATGACAATTGATGTTAATACAGTTTTTCAAATATTAATTCATTAATTAAATAAAAAATGATTAAATAGTAACAAAAAAGTAATAGTTCAACAGCATATATTGAAAGGAAAACCGTTTGTTAAGTCCCTGTAGCGCAATGGATAGCGCACGCGCGTTGGACTTCTAATCTAAAGGTCGTGGATTTGATTCCCACCTGGGATGGCCTAATTTCTGAGAATGAGATTTTTTACTATACTATTTTATTAAAATAATTAAATTTAATGAATGATTAAATAGTAACAAACCAACAAAAAATAGTCCAACACTATATATAAAAAGAAAAATGGAGGATTGCATGGAAAATAGCTTTCTATTTTGTCACTTAATACTGTGATTCTATCCTATGTATATACATATTTATATTAATTGTCATTATTTAATAAAAAGAAACTGAAATAAAATTTTCCTTTGTTGACCTAAGTAGGAATTGACTTAATTTTTTTTATATTACTTCTTAGTAATTCATTGCTACTTTTGTTGTAATATAATAAAGGAATGCTAAAACATTTTTTGCCTTATATGTACTACCTACATTGTGAATATTATGTTGCTTATGACTTTGGGTTCTGCAAAGCAATATTATACTCGTTACCACATTGTTTTGCAAAGCTAAGTTGAATGGAAAAGAATTAATTTGATTTAGACGACAGTATTAAAAATTATACAGTAAAACACATAGAAACGCCCGTAAGAAAATTTTTTCGAAAAATATCCAACAGTTGCAAAATATTATCCAGAGAAGAAAACCGAGCATAAATGGATGAATCAGAAGGCTTGACAATGAAGAAAAAGGAGCAACTTACCTTCATATAAACAAATTTGACGTTAAAATTTACATTTAAGAAGGAATAGCTCCTAAATTTTAGACTGAAAATTTGCAGAACACTCAAAAGTTGCTGGCGTGATTGAGTGAGTAAATATTACGTCGCAATGTTCAGGTAGGTACACGAGGGCTTTTGGTGACGGACCTCATAATTTTGAACCATGGTCAAGTGACGAGGATGACGAGTGATCTGGCACCTTCTGTCCTAACTACCACAATAATGGGAGGACGTTTGAGCTCTCGACAGATTTAACGTGCATCACTGCTCTGCATGGCGGGTCTTTAGTGGTACAGGGCTGGAACTCATGGAATGCCTGCCATGATCTGATACCTTCTCCACTGGGCTACCCGCAGCTCTCAGAAGTTTTTCGCACAGTAAAACATTTTAATGCCATTTTGAACAATGTATTTTAATTAAAAATATTTCTCAATATATGTAAAAACAAGTTAACGTAGAAGATGAAATGAAACTGTAGATAATTTCAATAGACCTAGACTTCGACAGTTTGTGTAAAAAAAATGCAAAGATATATTCCAGTTATTAAGTACAATCCCAGGTAGATGGAAACCTGGGACACGAATCTATTCTATTAATGAGTAAATTTTATTAATATCAGGTTGAGTAAAAAGTTTTCTGCCAATGAGAGATACCTCCACACCGACAGTAGTCATTCCCGTGGTAATTTATCTTTCTCCAAATGGGTTTTTGTATTTTAAATCAGAAAGTTGGAACTACGCGACTGTGTAATTTGTTTGTCAAAACTTTATTATCTTGTGCACCAAAAAAGTGCTTAAAATGGAGCTATCACGTCAACAAATCAGAAAGGTTATGTACTATGAGTTCCAAAATAAACACAGTGCAACTGAATGCCACAAAAATGTCTGCATGTTTAGGTTTCAGTACTGTTTCTTATGATACAGTAAAAGTTTGATTTCGAAAGTTTAAAGCTGAAAATTTCGACATTGAAAATGAACTACGTTCTGGTCACCCTATTGAGGTCGAGTGTCACTAGTTAAAGCAAATCATTGATCAAGACAGAAATGTTTCCACACAAACTATTGCATTAGATCTTGACGTTTGTCAAAAAACAATAGTTAATACTCTCAAATTCATAAATCTAACGTTTAAGTTAAACCACCGAGAGCCTTACGAATTGACTGCTGAAGATAAGATTAAGAGAAAAGTGGCCTGTTTGGGCTCTGCTCAGAGATCAAAGGAAAGAGAACATTCTAGATGAAAAATGGGCGTACTACAACAATACAAGCTGTTAAGGAGGGTGGTCAGCACCCAGGGAATCAATCATCTGGTTCGGTTGCAAGACGAACGCTAACAAGGTGCTTTTCTGTATCTAGTCGGATTGTCGTGGAGTTATTTATACAGACAGACAGACAGAAAAGCAGACAGACTATCAACAGTTCAATGTACAGCAATATGCTAATCAAAGTTAGCGATGCCATCCACGAAAAACGAAGAAAGTTCAGAAGCAAGATGGTTCTCTTTCATCAAGATAATGTCCAGCCACATGTTAGTGCGATGACCGGCTAGACACTCTACACCAGAGGTTCCCAAACTTTTTTTTGTCTCATAGACCCCTTGCTATGTTTTTCGGTTTCGATCAGACCCCTGCTTACTTAATGTTGAATTTTTGCAAATTTTTCAACTTGCATATTTTTTTAGCAGCTGGTACTACTATTTACTTTAAAAGAATTAAATGTCTAATGTAGGCAAGTATAGTGTTTAAAACTTAAGAAGCACAAGTTATTGAATTAAATTAAAATTAAATTAATATATAAAATAACTGAACAACAAATGCTTTTAAATGCTTCTGGTGCTTCACAATACAAATTTTCATCATTTAATATCAATCTAGTTAAGTTTAACCCTAAATCTCCTTTGTTAGTAAGTGTCCAAGTTTTTTTGTTTGTTTTTGAGATTGGCAAACTCATTGAAACCCCCTCTCACTAGGAAAAGCAATTAAAAACTTTCACGACATTCCATAATTCACAATAAATAACAGGTATGTCTTTTTTAAAGTCAAAATTACTGACATCTGTTTCTAAACTTTATTTTAAGATCTTCGTTAGGGAATATTCTGATCAGTTCTTATTGTAATACGATTTTTTTCAATGTGACTATATAAATTCATTGTCCACTGTGGTATTAATATATAAAAAAGAATCAATCTCAAAACTAATGTCAAAGTCTGAGTAAAGGGCATTTAAATGTTGTACGTAATGTAAAATGTCCTTATAGATTGTCTGTGAAGAATTGAGAACATTTATGACGTCCAATATTATACTCCTTTAAATTCTGGAAAACAAAATGTTGAAATGATCCTTAGCTTAATGAAACTTAAGCTGTCACCCAGTAATCATAAATTAACTTCACTAAATTTAATAAACAAATCAGTTAAATTGGTAAAATCTGGTTTCTACTAGATCAATTTTTTTAAAAGACTAAAGTCCCGATCTGGTTTAATGAGAGCCACTATCGTAGATCCCAATTTACACCTCATGGACCCCCAAATTATTTTTCCGCTGGCGTGGACCCATTGCCGGTCGTCATAGACCCTGAGGGTCTATAAAGACCAGTTTGGGAATCACTGCTCTACACACTGGAGTGAGATTTGATGTATCATCAGCTATCAGCTACAGTACCTTCGGATTATCATCAGTTTTCACATCTGCAGCTACATCTTGATGGCACAATCTTTCATTCAATTGATGAGGTCATAAATAAGGTTTGATCGATTTTTGGACTCACGCACCCCACAGTTCTTCACAGAAGGGATTGAAAAGTTGTCAAAAAATTGGCAGACTATTGTAAATTTGAATGCAGATTACTGTACTCATTAGCTTTGCTGATTTTGAATGTATTTACTATTTTACAAGATTGTTTTCTTTTGGTGGAAAACTTTTTACTCAACGTAATATTATGTTAAAAAAATTAAATGAAAAATATATAGTATTTTTTTAAAAATTGTCTCTATTTAAAGTGGCTATAACACATATTGATCTCTTTTAAATATTATTTTATGATATATTCTTCTAAGGGAAGGGGAGCTTTTTTAAGATAGGATTTTGAGGAAACAGGCAGTGTTTCTCATTGTGACCCAATTTTCAATCATAATTTTCATAGCGCACTCCACCCCCTTCCACAACAATGTATAGAATTTAATAGTAATATACTTCAACGCGTAAAACTATAATACGACTTTAATTATAAACCGTACAAATTATCCAGATAAGTGCTAAATTTTGTATACAACTTTATGAAATATTCATAGGGTCACTGATAATTATTAAACTTCTTCATCTCTAATGGGGTTGTGCATTGGTATTTAACTTTTGCAGACCGAGTACATTCCCCAGAACTGGTATAACTTTTTAGTGTGGCACCATATAGGCAATACCAATTACCGCGAGTAATTTTGAAGCCCAGTTTCCTCCCCAGAGGAAGGCACCCGAGCTCTGGCGATGCAAAACCGAGCTTAGGATTTTAATTTTGCCGAGAACACCTAAGCCAAACATGCACTCAAGGTTTTTTTTCATGCCGTATAATAATACATAGCTGATGTCGGTTTTCTGCATCATAAAAATCCACCAACTTGTGCCGGGGTCGAGCCTGCAACTATAGGTGCAGAAGGCCAGCGACAAACCAAAACCCTGCCGTCATTATTAAACTTATTCTTAATTTAGTACTGTTAAATTAATTATGAAATACATTGTGCAGTAATGAGAGTATAAGTGTATTATGCCAGTGTAAGTGTATTTTACTTTTTAATTACGTCAGAATGTACTTTGTTTTGCTTCTTTTCAGTAAATTAATAATTTTTTTAAATAATCCTTTGTTTTCGACTTTTCGATACACTCGTGTTCCCCTTGTAAGGTTATTGCGCACCCTTAGTTGCCCCCACAGTTTGAGAAACGTTAGCTTTAAGGGTTTCTTGAGTCGACCTAGTGTGAAGGCCACTCTTCCCAAAAAATCGGTAGGTGAAATAATGCATGTTAAATGAAACCGAGTCTCAAAATTTTTTGTGCTACAGTACGAATTACAGTGCTGTTCTCGATATGATCATAAATTTTTTAAAAAAAGATGTTCTACGAATGGATGCCGATAATTAAAATACCTTATGTCTTCAACAAATAAATATAACTCAAAATTTTCATCCTATTGAGGACATCTTGAACAAGCCTTTTTATAGATTCAGGAGGCTTTTAAAATCAAAATTTATTTCACAAGAAAACATAAAAATTTACAAAACCCTTATTTGACCAGTTCTGACGTATGCATCCGAGACTTGGACAATAACAAAACTGGAAGAAAATCTAATAGCCT